TGGTCAGTCATGAGGCCTGAACTCTGGGCCTGGGTGCTGTCCCTCAGCTCTTCAGCTCAAGGTTAGCACTCTACCTCTTGTGCCATAGCACCACTTTTGGCTTTTTCTGCTTATGTGGTGCTGAGGAATTGAACCCAGGGCCTCATGCATGACGGGCAAGCATTCTACCACTGAGCCACCTTCCCAGCCTGTAAATCTTATATTTTTTAATCCATTCATCAGTTGAGAAGCACCTACAGTGACTCCATAACTTAGCTATTGTTATAAACATCAGTGTTCTGGTGTGTCTGTATGTTGACTTTGACTTCTTCAGGTATACCTACCCAGAGTGGTATGCCTGGATTGTGTGGCAGTTCCATTTATAATTTTCTGTCTTTTTTTTGTTGGTTGTGGAGCTTGAACTCAGGGACTGGGCACTGTCACTGGGCTTCTATGTGCTTGGGGCTAGCACTCTACCACTTGAACCACAGCCTCACTTCCAATTTTTGAGTGGTTAATTGGAGATCAGAGTCTCATGGGGACTTTTCTGCCTCAGCTGGCTTTGAGTACTCATCTTCAGATCTCAGCTTCCTGAGTAGCTAGGATTACAGGTATGAGCCACCCATTTATAATTTTTCTGAGGGAACCTCAATACTGGTTTTCATAGGGTCTGGACAATTTGTGTCCCCATTAACAGTGTCTAAAGGTTCCTTTTTCTGCATCCCAATACAGGTTCTGGTTGTTTCTTGTTTTCTTGATGATAGCCATTCTGAATGAGATGAGGTGGAAGAAATAAATTTGTGTACTTATTCTGGTATCTTTCCTTTTTCTCTTTCTCAATTTGACTTCTCTTTGGTTTATATTCTTCTGAGTGGTGGAAAAGTAATTCCTGTCAATCAAGATTTTCTCAATCTATTCACATATGGAATTAAAGGGTCAGTTAGGAATGGGAGTAGGTGGGGGTGTCTTAGCTTTTCACCATAGAGTCACACTGGTACCCATGGCAACTTCTTGTCATTTACCTAGTTCCTTGTTAGCACTCTATGGAGATCATGTTTTCAATCTTTCTATTCCCAACTCTCAGTATATTCAGATCTTCAGGCTCTCAACAGTATGCCGGTGTCTAAAGAGACTTAATGAGGTGGCCTTAGATGTGTCTACCCAGATGAACCATGTGGCTGTCCCTTCTGTTTCCACACCATGCTGGGAATGAGAAAATTTTGTGTCTTCCTACTTCATCAGATTCTTCATAGGACATAGAACACAGATTTTAGGTACTTTTGGCTTCCCAATCCTCTCTAGAACTATACTATATCCCTCCATGAGGAAGACTCAGTATACTGGATTGTTGGTGCATAAATATTATGCCTTATGTACTCCATGATTCTAGATTATGAAGTTTTTTAAATTTTTATTTTTTCAGTTCTGGGGATTGAACTCAGATCCTGGGCACTATTCCTGACCTTCTTCTTCTTTATTATTTTGGTTGTGGGTCTTGAACTATGGGCCTGGGCATTGTCTCTCAGCTCTTCAGCTCAAGGCTAGTGCTTTATCACTTTAGCCACACCGCCACTTCTGGTTTTTAGGTGGTTAATTGGAAATAAGAGTATCTCAGACTTTACTGCCTGGGGTGGCTTCAAATCATGAACCTCAGATCTCAGCCTCCTGAGGAGCTAGGATTACAGGCATGAGCCACCAGTGCCCTGCTCTAGGTTTTTTTCCTTTGTTGTTTTGTTCTTTCCTTTTCTTTTTGGTCTTATTTGTTTATCTGTCTTTGGGAAGTTAAGACAGAAATAGAGGGATAAAGGGTGAACAAATGCAGCAGTGGTACTCACTAGACACTGTGTTGAAAATGAACTATAAAATTTGTGCGTGGGGGCTGGGAATATGGCTTAGTGGTAGAGTGCTTGCCCAGCATGCATGAAGCCCTATGTTCAATTCCTCAGTACTACATAAATAAAAAAAAGTCTAGAAGTGGCACTGTGGCTCAAGTGGTAGAGTGCTGTTAGCTTTGAGCAAAGTAAAATCAGGTACAGTGCCTAGGCACTGAGTTCAAGCCCCAGGATTGGCAAAAAAAAAACAACAACAAAAAACAAAAAATAAAACTTGTGGGTGGGGGTGAGAGGGAAAACCTGGGAGACAGTGAGGGAAAGGGTGACACTGCCCAAAAAGAAATATACCCATTGCCTGACATATGTAATGTAATCCAACATCACTTTTATAATAACAGTAACAATAATAGTGGAATACCCCATTGCAGTTTGAAAGGGAATTTAGCTCCTTCTAATTATCTTCTTATATATGCAAAATTTACCATTCACATGGATGTTGCGTTTGTTGAAGTCAGAACTGTACTTAGAAAGTATTATTTTTAGGACAGCACAGCATTTTGTTTATCTTTTTCTTTTTGTCAGTCCTGGGGCTTGAACTCATGGCCTGAATGCTGTTACTGAGTTCTTTTTGCTCAAGGCTAGTGCTCTACCATTTCAAGCCACAGTTTCACTTCTGGTTTTCTGCTGGTTAATTGGACTGAGTCTCATAGACTTTCCTTCCCAGGCTGGCTTTGAACCGTGATCCTCAGACCTTAGTTTCCTGAGTAGCTAGGATTATAGGCGTGAGCTACTAACATCCAGGGTTTTTTTTTATTATTATCTGTATGATGTGTTTAGCATACAAAAAATTATCCAGGGCTGGGAAGGTGGCTCAGTGGTAGAGTGCTTTCATTGCATGCATGAGGCCCTGGGTTCAATTCCTCAGTACCACATAAGCAGAAAAAGCCGGAAGTGGTGCTGTGGCTCAAGTGGTAGAGCACTAGCCTTGAGCTAAAGAGCTCAGGGACAGTGCCCAGCCCCAGAATTCAGGCCTCACGGCAGGCAAAAAAAAGAAAATAAATTATCCACGGATTTGTTGAAGACCATTAGCTTTGTATAACTGCCTGAGATAAGAAAACACTTAAATAATAGATAAATGTGCTAAATATGCATTAATTACAAAAGAGAAAATAACAATTAATAATATTAACCTTGCACAATTTAAATAAGGGACATGTTTTATACATTTAGAAATCAGCAACTACCTGACTACAAAAGAAAGGCTATTTAAAAAATAGACCTTCATGTGTAGTTAAAAATGATCCTTCTGTTCTAATTTGCCTTTGTAATTTCAAGGTCAAATGGACAGATTTGTTTTAGAACCTAGTCCCTGAAGCCAAAGAGGACCTGCTTTCCTCATGCAACTCCAGTGCCAAGAATGCTAGTATGTTCCTTATTTAGAAAATGCAGCTGCTGGTTTCTGACCTATTCTTGCCACTTCAGACTTCAATGACAAGTGCTGAGGGTGGTGAGAGGAGGCAGGTGTGGGAAAGCCCACAGTGAGGAAAGATCTTTGGTAAGTAGGGTAAAGGTAAAACGTCAAGGAGTGTAGATATTTCCAGGATATATTCTGAGAAGTTGGAGACATACAGAAAAATATCCATCCTAAGCTGTAAAGGTACAGAAAGCTTTATGGCTTTTCATGATATGTTAAGTATGAATTCATGTGCTGGGAATGTGGCTTACTGGTAGAGTGCTTGCCTAGCATGCATGAAGCCCTAGATTCGATTCCTCAGTACCACATGAACTGAAAAACCCAGAAGTGGCACTGTGGCTCAAGTGGTAGAGTGCTAGCTTTAAGCAAAAGAAGCTCAGGGACAGTGAGTACCCAAGCCCTGAGTTCAAGCCCCAGGACTAGCAAAAAGAAGTATGAATTCATTTCATACCATGACATTTTTTTCAATTATTTCATTTCATCTAAGGGATGACTTTTGAGTCCTTCCTAAATACAAATCATTGCATACCACCCCCAAATAAAATATAAAGATGAATAAAACATACTAATCGGGGCTGGGAAGGTGGCTCATTCTAGAGTGGTTGCCTTGCATGCATGAGGTCCTGGATTCGATTCCTCAGCACCACATAAGCAAAAAGAAAAAAGCCAAAAGTGTGCTGTGGCCCAAGTGGTAGAGCACTAGCCTTGAGCTGAAGAGCTGTGGGACAACGCCCAGGCCCAGAGTTCAGGCCCCACGATCAGACCCCCCCCAAAAAAAAAAACAAAAAAAAACCCCATACTAAACATGAGTTCATAAAAATTTGCCATGGTTTTCCCTATTAATTTTTCCAAATCTGCAAGCCATGTGTCTTTGCCAAACACAATTTCTCAGACACTTCATTCCTAAGGGATAGATCACATATCTCTTTGCCTAAAACATGAGGTCATTCATAACCCACTTCTAGATTATTGTCCCAGTTCCTTGTGTTTGTGTTCAGCTTTTTATTATGTGCTGAATAGGCTAGGCGACCACGTTCGTTCTTAACTCTGTAACAATGCCTTAAACTCCTGCTTCTTCTTTACCATTCTACCAAAATACCACTTTTCCTGTGACACATCCTATGATTTCCTTTTTGCCCCAGGTTATGTTAGGGTGGCTTCTCTTTTACTTTCTTTATACCTACCACAATTATAACCCTCAGGGATATATTGGAGTTCTTTATATTCATATTATTTTCTCCCACAGCAAGAATCTTTTTGAAGGATGGAACCATATCCTTTTTTGTTGTTGTTGGTCATGGGGCTTGATCTCAGGGCCTGGGCACTGTCCCTGAGCTCTTCAGCTCAAGTCTAGTGCTCTACCACTTGGAGCGACAGCGCTACTTCTGGTTTTCTGGTGGTTAATTGGAGTTAATAGTCTCAAGGACTTTCCTGCCCAGGCTGGCTTTGAACTGTGATCCTCAGATCTCAGCCTCCTGAGTAGCTAAGTTTGCAGGCATGAGCCAGTGGCCCTTGGTGGAACTATATCCTTTTATCTTTACATTTCCAGTTCATGCCAGAGCATTGGTATATAGCAGGTATAGAATTAGTAATGGCTGTGAAAAATGAATAAATTCATTCATTGTCTTTTACCTTGTTGATTTAACAATCACCAATTTCTTCACTTTCAGTCTTCTTTTTTCCCCTCATTTTTTACTCACCAATTCTCTTTCCAGAATGCTTTCAGAAGGCTATCTCAGTGGACTTGCCTACTGGAATGACATCCACTGGAATTGTGCATCTTTTCGTGAGCAGGTCGCTGGAGAACAGCAAGTAGAGACAAATTCCGTTGCTGCTCTTTCCTATTCCTCTGTGGATGAAACACAAATAAGAAGTGTTTATGTGAGCTGCAAATCCTCTGACAAGTTTGTTTCTTCAGTGCATTCAAGAGAGCACCAACAAGGCGAAAGTCCTAGAGTAACAGTGCTGCACACAAACTCCAATCCTGTGTTTGAAAGCCCAAATTTGGCAGCAGTTGAAATATGCAGAGACCCCAGCAAAGAGACCTTCTTGGTTCCATCTTCCTGCAAAAGTATCTGCAAGAATTACAATGACTTACATATAGCAGGAGGCCAGGTGATGGCCATTAACTCAGTGACAACAGATTTCCCCCCCAAAAATAGTTTTGAATATGGTCCTTTGCTGAAGTCATATGAAATTCCTTTGCCCATAGAGGATTCTATTTCTACTCAGCCCAATGACTTTCCCCAGAAACCTGTCCAGCGGTATTCATCTTACTGGAGAATAACGAGCATCAAAGAGAAAAGCAGCCTGCAAATGCAGAAGCCTATTTCAAATGCAGTGCTGAATGAGTACCTGGAGCAGAAGGTGGTGGAGTTATATAAGCAGTACATTATGGATGCTGAATTTCATGACAGTTCTCCTACCCAGATTCTGGCATCTGAACTCATCATGACAAATGTGGACCAAATTAGTCTTCAAGTGTCTAGAGAGAAGAACCTAGAGACCTCAAAAGCCAGGGATATAGTCATTAGCCGTCTATTAGAGTTGGCATCAAGTGAGATCAGCACTCCTAGTCTCCATATTTCTCAGTATAGTAATGTGATTTCATAGAAAAGAGGCTTCCATTCCTCCCAAGCACTCAAACCCAAAGCAATGCTTTATTCGTTTATTCACAGAATGTGTGGGAGAGGGTCATGAAAGGGAGTTAAGAGCTAGAGAAATGAAGGTTAGATGGAAGCTAGTTGTAAATGAGCTTTGAGAAAAAGAATGAGATACCATGAGGAATTTTCAAAGACAGCTTTATACAGCAGCAAGGCAAAAATAAAAGTGACAAAAATAAAAGATTATGATTTAGTTAAAGGAGCATAGAAAATGGAAAAGACAATACTACTAAGGAATAAACACTATGATGAAAGTAAAAAGCAGAAAGGTTTCATGGTAGACGGTTAAACATATGTTTGTTATCCAAATAAATTCCTCCACGTGGTTTTTCTGGAAGAAAAAGGAAGAAAGAATATGTAGAAGGCTGCTAAACTTGAGTCAAAAGACATGTTCAAAGTATGTGTTTATGTTTCTCTTTTCTATATTAGATATTGGAATGCCATTTACATATATTCTTTATAAATATTAAAAGAACGGAAAATTGCAATTGTGTTTTATTTTTGAAGTGTCACTTAATTATAGCCATTAAATCTCCTAATTCTGTTCACTGGTAGAGATAACCTCTTGTCTCCCCCCCGTCAATACAATGCTTTATACATTATGATTTTATAATTTATATACTTGAACTGAATTGTACTATTGCTTTGCTTTTGTTACTTAACTATAAATATTTTTTAAATCAGAATTGTCACTGTAAAAGGTATGACTCACATGCACTCTGTAAATACAAGGCCTGGAGACCCCATCCCACACTGGCTTTTTCTGATGTGGGCAATAATGAAGATCTACCTAGGCAAATGTCAGTATAGGAGAAACAATTCCACTTTTTCCTGTAGGCCATATATGTTTAAGGGAAACAATATTCACATCAAATAAATAAGCCTCTTTTGGTGTTGTAGGGAATAATAATTCTGTTAACACACATTGGTCCATTGAAATTGACTGAAAATCACTTTTCTGTACTGGGCCTGCTGTTGATTGATCCATTAACACACTCCTTATCTATGGACCTCAAATTTAAGACTGTATTTGCATGTGGCTCTTCATTGTATATGTTGTTCACAAGGCTTTTGTGTTGTATATTTTTTATGAATCAACTTGACTAAGCCATAAGGTGCCCAGATATGTGGTGAAATGTTATGCTGGATGTGTCTGTAGTAATGATTTTGGATGAGATACATATCTGAATATGAGGAATATTAAGGCTCACTCTAAAGTAGGTGGTCATGATTCAATAAGTTAAAGGCTTGAATTTTAACAAAGGATGAACCCCTACCTCCCAAATATGAGAGAATTGTTGAATGCTTTTGAAATGATACAATTGGCTTTATCCTGTTTTAGAACTTGAAATGAAACATTGGTTCTTCCCAGCTCTCAAACCTGCCAGACTTCTGACTAGAAATATGCCACTATTAGTTCTGGTTCTCAGGTCTCAGAGTCAGATTGAAACTACAAAGTCAGCTCTTCTGAGACTTCTAGGCTGCTGACTTCCTCGGAAGATCTTGGGACTTGCCCCCTTCCTTAATCATGTGAGCCAGCTCCTTAAAATAAGTCTGAATATATATATATATATATACACATATATATGTATATATATACATATATATAATATGTGTATCCTTTTGGTTCTGTTTCTTCAGAAAACACTGAAAAATAGATACTATGATATAATTTTCCAGATGCCTTCCTGCAATCAAGAGACACAAAGTTTATGACATATTCTTGGCCTATTAGCATGGTGAACAATGAACTGAATTCTGTTTTTGTTTAGTGTATCAATAGTGTCACTCAAGGACTCTTTGTAGGTATTTACTCAATATCTTTAAATAACTTGTTTAGTCTTTTCCTTTTATGAATATTAAGTTAAGAGTGTATACACTTAGACTTTAATTCTGGCTCTCAGAAAAAAAAATCTTGCTCTCACACTTCAACAATTTTGAATACTTTTTATTTCCTCTAAACTTCTGACATTTTCCTCATTTTCTTATATATAGAGGGTGACTGAAGTATGTTAGGTATTCTGTTAGTCAAAACATGACACTACCTTCTGGGTGCCGGTGGCTCATGCCTGTAATCCTAATTACTCTGAGAGTGAGATCTGAGGATGGTGTTTGGAAACCAGCCCAGGCAGGAAAGTCCATGAGACTTTTATCTCCAATTAACCACCAGTAAAACCAGAAGTGGGGCTGTGGCTCAAGTGGTAAAGTGCTAGCCTTGAGCCAAAAAGCTCAAGAATAGCACCCAGGCCCTGAGTTCAAGCTCAAGGTCAGCATGTGTGTGCACACACATGCACGCACACACACAACCTGACACTATGGGTTTGAATTTCGACTTAAACATGCTATAATTTAGTACATTTACACTGAAAATCCTTTAACCATGGTTTTTCTGTAGTCACTAATTGATGATCACTCTTACGAATGTGCTTCAACTACATACAATTCAGAGTGCTTTAAGTTTCTTGTAATTAAATTTTGCTAGTGATGGAGTTTGAGCTCAGGGCCTTGAGCTTGCTAAGCAAGCACTCTACCCCTACAGCCAAACCTCCTTCTTTTAAGATAGATTTGCTTACAATGATTGTATTAGACAAGAGGAAGACCATTTATTCATACACCAAGCGTAGAATCTGAAGTCCAAATTTGATAATGGAAACACAAACAGGAAAGTAATGCTTCCATCTTAACCAATGTCACATGATGCCAGTCAAAAACAGAGTAATGACTAGCTTCTTCTATGAACAGTGAACAGTGCTTTCGTGGCAAATGACACAGCTTGAACAAAAATCAATACACATAATTTTGAAATTATTTAGCGTTGCCACTAAAAAACTTCTCTAAGTTATCAAAAAACAAGAAGTAGGGGCCGGGAAGGTGGTTCAGTGGTAGAGTACTTGCCTCGAATGTGTGAGGCCCTGGGTTTGATTCCTCAGCTCCACATAAGCAGAAAAAGCCAGAAGTGGCACTGTAGCTCAAGTGGTAGAGCGCTAGCCTTGAGCTGAAGAGCTGAGGGACAGCGCCCAGCCCAGAGTTCAGGCCCCACGACCGACAAAAAAAAAGGAAAGAAAAACAAAAAACAGAAAACCCAAACCAAAAAACATGAAGTAATTGTTGCTTAAATGGTTTGACCTTCTGCTACCAATCAAGTAAGTTTGAATGTCTTTTAACTCTTGGGAGAGAGACCTGGCACTTTCAGCCTTCTCAGGTTTTTCTCAGGAGGGATACAAGGAGACTGGGCATCCTGCTGACCTTGTTTGGAAGACTAGTTGTGACATATGGTTCAGGACAGACTTTATTAGATGCTAGGCTATGGCAATACTGCATCAAACATGATCAAATACATTTCTCTAGAAAATTCTGAAAACATAGAGTATTATGACCACTTTTCCAGATGCTTCCTGAAAACAAGTAACAGTAAGTCGATCTTACTGTTAACAGCCTAGTCCAAAATAACACAATGATCTCTGGTTCAATTAGCTGAGTTTTGGTGCCATTGTAGTAACCATTACTTATCACTCTACGTGGGCCATTCACACATTAATGCAAAAGAAACTGAAATTTGGGAGGTTGACCATATAATCGAATATTTCCATTCATTTAAAAGAATATGTACTACTTTATAGTTACTCAACACATAATAATATATAAAATAATTTCATTTGTTAATGAAAACAATAGAAATGGGCACTGGTGGCTCATGCCTATAATCCTAGCTACTCAGGAAGCTGCGATCTGAATATCACAGTTCAGAGTCAGCAATGGCAGACAAATCCAAGATTCTTATCACCAATTAAACAGTCAAAATCCAGATGTGGAGGCATGGCTCAAGTGGCAGAGCACCAACAATGAGTGAGAGCTGAGTGAGAGCACAAATGACGAGAGTTGAAGCCCCAGGACTAACATTAAAAACAAAAAACAAAACCCCCCAAAAAGCTTATCTTTGTGATGAACACATTTAAATTCTACATTCTAAGAGATTTTCAAGTTCTATATATTATTATTATCTATGACTACCATGATGCATATAGATCTGCATGTACTTCTCTTATTTAACTGAGATCTTGTGTATTACCCCAAATATTCTCCAGGTACTCTTGGTGCTTTGTGAAGTTTACTTTGCCAGTGGAGGGATAGAAAAATATGGTTCAGGTAACATTCAGATTTTTCAGTACTGTCATCCCTTCATAAGGACCTAAGAGTTCTTTAAATTACTGTTATTTCTCTGTACTCAGAATCACAAATGTCCTTTAGTGACCACAGCTTTTGGGATCAGTTGCAGATCTGTATGGTTACTGTTACGTTTCTACAGTCTCCAGCTGCTGTAACATTAATTAATCATCAGTAGCTTTGTTACTGTGTCAAATTTGCTGTGTTTCTTCCTATTGCCAAAATGAGGTATTTCCCAAGAGCTCTTCAGTCTCTTATGCAAATAAACTTCCCACCACCTGTTCCTAGAGAAGTCTGCAGTGTTGATTGTTTCTTATCTGGTGCCAGGAATACAGTTACTGCTGCTGCTATGGCTACTATCATAGTCAGCAGTACTTATATGTGCATAATGCTTTATAATTTATAAAAGCATTTCAGTGAGCTCAGCTGATGCTCTCTAAAACCTGTATAAGAGTATTAAGATCACTTTTATGAGAGTTTTTTTTATTGTTTTCCTCTTTCAAGGCTATTGTAATGGTCATAGATGTAATAAAAAATGAGAAAAGTTAGAGGAGACTCACACACATACATATAGAGGAAAAGAGAGATCACATACACACATGTGCACACATACATACATACATCCTATACTATGTTTCCCTTGAAAACTCCAACTAATAAAAAATTCCCTACATCATTGAATATCTTTTTGTTGTTGTTGTTGTTGGTTGTAGGGCTTGAACTCTGTGCCTGGGCGCTGTCCTTGAGCTATTCAGCTCAAGGCTAGTGCTCTACCACTTGAGCCACAGCGCCACTTCTAGTTTTCTGGTAGATGACTGGATATAAGAGTCTCTTGAACTTTCCTGCCTGGGCTGGCTTTGCACTGTGATTCTCAGATCTCAGCCTCCTGAGTAGCTAGGATTATAGGCGTGAGCCACCGGCACCTGGCTATCATTGAATATCTTAAATGAAAGTAAACACAAGTCTTTTATAGTTCATGCTTTTTCTAATTTTATTTTATACTTTATTTTTATTTTTTGCCAGTCTTGGACTTGAACTCAGGGCCTGGGCACTGCCCCTGAGCTTCTTTGGCTCAAGGCTAGCACTCTACTACTTGAGCCACAGTGCTACTTCCAGCTATTTCTGTTTATGTGGTACTGAGGAATTGAACCCAGGGCTTCATGCATGCTAGGCAAGTGCTCTACCACTAAGCCACATTCACAGCTGCTTTTTCTTAAAGAATAGTACTTTATTGAATAAGCTTTATTCACAGAAAAATAAGCTTTAATCTACAGCAAATGCCTGATTATACAGCAGAAAGTAATTTTTATGGAAATAGTTC